TCACATTATTCAATAATATTTTAATAAACCTTTCTTTTAGTTTTCCCTTTTCTCTTTTCCATGCTTTAATTTCTTCTATATAATTACACCGAACTATTATGTATAATTAAGTTATGCTAGACTGCATTTACTATTGACTCAAAGACTATTCCATAAGCAAAACCGTAGTTGCCTAGCCTCTCCCTTTGCTTCTTTGACCCAAATACTATCCCTCCTTCCTTGTTTCTCTTTTCTTCTTAGCCGTCGCCTCTCTCATCCTCAACGATTAGAGAGAATGAATAAATGTGTGAGTTTTTCTCTCATTTGTAGAGGTTCTTTTGTCTCTCTCTTTTGGAGCTCTTTGTTTGAACTCTCTCAATATTTTTCTTTAGTTTTACCTTAGTTGAAGAGGACGATAGCGTGGTGGTGGTGCTAACTAGGTTTACATTGGTTGCAACACTTTGGTAGTTGGTGGCATAGTTAGGAGACTGATAGAGACTCAAACTCTCTTTTAGATTAATTGGGGCATGGCTTCAGTGATACATGGAGGAGACTCCAACTCCCCTCTGAACTAGTGCATCTCTCTTCAGTACAACATTCATTGGGTCGAGACTATTGTTTTCCAAAATACTTGCTCTCTCCAAGAAGCCAGCATAGTAGTTTGAGAATGTCCAATAACTTAGGATGGTCTTCTTACAATTAGTAACTCTATTAATGCCTCAGGGTAATTGCTATTATAATCTTTAAGTGCAAATGCCTCTCCATTTAATTCTACATCCATCAAGGACATTATTTTCGTATGTATATATCCAATGTTTTAGGATATACTTCTACTTTGGTTGTCAGTGATGATAGATTTTCATTATTTTGATACAATGTTTATTTCTTATAAAAAAATGTTATGCAAAGTTCAGCTTAAAAGAACAAAAATATAAATTTATTAAACTATATCTGCAATGCTTGGATTCTCACTCAAAGTGAGGAGGAATTACGATTGCACATGATTTATAAATGTTAATACTAAAGCTCGAGCTTTTTGAAGACAAAAACTTCAGTCAAAAGACTTGTTAAGTCAGTTGGATTTACAGCCTCCAAACACTTAAATTTGTAGACACCCTGTTTTAACAGAGTTTCTCTATTAGTGTTACATCATATAATTATACAGAGAAATTATTTGTAACAATAAAACTTAATATATTTCACTAAACCAAAAAGTCTACGCTCTAGATTTACCAATTCTAATTTCACAAAAAGTTACTAGAAAACAGCATTTAAACGATAAGAATATAACCGTCAGTCAAAAAGTTGTCAATTATACTCCTATAATCTACAAAAATTTTGTCAATTATATTAATGAGCCGATTATATGAGGTACAATTGATAGCTAATAGTGGTGGTCGAATATAATAAAATTTTATAGTTATATATGTTAATATTTAACATTCTACTAGTAGCATTTTTAATTATTACATATCTTGTAAATCATAAATTTGATAGTAAAAATTTAATATTATCAAACATAGGATTATTTTTTATTAATATTATATATCTTGTGTATGTGTAATAACAAGATTAACTATAAATATGTAATATTAGAATTGATAATTTAATCAAAGTAGATATATGTATAATAGTAATTAAAAATAATCTCATATTTGTTATTCTTAAATTTTTATTACCAAATTTATTATTTACAAGATATATAATATTTATAAATATTACTAATGGAAGATTAAATACTAACATATATGTTTATAAAATTTTTATACTCATAATCGACAACCATTGGTTGTTGATTATGTTAAAATTTTATAGGTATATATGTTAATATTTAACATTCTATTAGTAGCATTCATAATTATTACATATCTTGTAAATCATTAATTTAATAATAAAAATTTAACATTATCAAATGTGAGATTATTTTGTATTAATATTATATATATTGTGTATATATAATAAAAAAATTAACTATAAATATGTAGTATTAGAATTGATAATTTAATCAAAGTAAATATATGTATACTATTAATTAAAAATAATCTCATATTTGATATTCTTAAATTTTTATTACTAAATTTATTATTTACTAGATATATAATATTTATAGATATTACTAGTGAAAAATTAAATATTAACATATATTTGTATAAAATTTTTATACTTATAATCGATAGCTATTGGCTGTTGATTATGCAAGTATAATCAACAACTATTGATTGTCGATTATACTTATAGTGACTGTCAATTATACTCATACCGCTTTCCCCACTTAAAAAAAAGTTAAATTTCGTGATTAATTTAATTTAAAATAAAATCGAGACCATTTTAAAATATAATTGACAAAATTTTTGTCAAATATATTTTATATATATGCACACAAAAACATAATTAGCAAATATCTTCTCATTTTCTCCTACTTCTCCCCTCCTCCTTCCTTTCCCACAGATGTTTCACCCCATTTTCCCTCTTCCTCTGTTCTTATCATAATCATCTTCTTCTTCTTCCTTTCATTTTTATTTTTCTCTCTTCTTCTTCTCCCTTCCCTTCTACCTTTCTAATTCTTGCATTGCATGTCTTCATCTTTCCCTCTTGTTTCTACTTTTCTTTCATCATTCCTTCTACCTTTTCTATTTTCATTTTTGGTTGCCATCCTTCTCCTTTTCCTTCATTTTCTTTCATTCTTTCATCTCAAGCTTTTTATTTTCTTTTATTTATTTATTTATTTATTTGTTATTTTCATTTATCATCCAATTATTTTTATTTGATCTACTAATAATTTTTTTTAATTTTTGCAAATTATTAAGCTTAAAATCATTTTATGAGGAAATTCACATTTTGATTTATATTTTTCATTTCCTTTTACTTAAATAAAACCTTATAATGTACAATAATGCTTTTTCCTTTCCCTTTTACATATATATATTTACTTTATTATAAGTAAATTACTTATCATTTATCTTATTTTTTCATTAATTCTCATAATATTTGAATATTATTCTTGTTTTTCAATTATTCTCAAAATTATTTTTTTATATATTGTTGTTGCACTTGATTGATTTTATCATTGAATTTTGTTTAATGACTTTATAATTTAATTAACAACTACAAAATTAAAAATTTAATTCTACATTTTTTAATTCTATTTTTTGTTATTGGTGGAACAAGTATAATCAATAGCCAAAGCTATCGATTATACTAATATAATCGACAGAATACATTTATGTTTATTATACTATTTTCAACTCTTGTTTATTTGACAAATTTGACTATCGATTATGTCTGTTGATTATACCTATAATTGACAGAATTTCCCTAATTTTCTATCGAATATACTTTGTTTTTCAGTAGTGGTTTACGAGTAAAAATTCACTTATGCACAATAAATTATTGAGATTTTATATAAATATAGTGTATAAAACTTGTGTGTAAATAAGTTTATCTTCTAAGTTTTTTACTCTACTAGTTTTTTATAATAAAAAACAGTTATAAAGACTAGGGCAAACAAAAACAAAGAAGTTACCACAACGAGGCTTTCACCGGTGATAATGCAACAGCACTTTTCTTCTTTGTTGGGTAAAAGTTTATGCTAAATTCGAACATTATTGGAATCATGACATAAATTTATTAGTAATTGATATATTTTGCTGGCTTCACATGTGGGTGTAATAAGTTTTGTGTATTATAAAAATGTGATGATATGACATACATGCATGTAGACCAATAAATTTAGTAAAATAAGTATTTTTAGTTCAAAATGACGGTGAAAGCATATATATTGGGACATATTTTTCTCCTAAAGTTTGGAAATGACAGGTCTACTGCCTAATTCTTCTCTGGTATTTAATATTTATCCATTCTTGTAATGTTATGAATTAAACTCGCTCCCAATATTTTCCTATAACACCAAAATAAGTATATGTAAGGATTGGATTTACTGGATAAAGTTTAAATTTAAATCTATGAGCTATTACTTAAGAAAGTTAATTCATTTAAATGCACCACTTCGATATTGGATGTGTGCTCTAAAAATTGTACAAAAAAATTAATTTTAAATTATATAAAAATTAATTTAAAAACACTATAACCAACTAAATTAGAATAGAAAAAAAAAAAAAATACTAATAGCTTGTTTAATTTCATGTAATTTGATTGGACAAAAGGTTTTCACTTTCTCCCTCCCATCCCTTTCCCTTCAACCAAACAACTATAAAATAAGTGTGAACTGTGAAGAGCCTGAAGTGCCTCGTCTTCAATCAGCTTGCTTCTTTTCCACAGCTGTCCCTGTAGCACAGCTAGCACTAAAATGATTTATGAATTTGCTGTAGATTCACCGAATCATCATTCATTACCTTTTGGGCCTCATTTCGGAGTGAAAAAAAGAAGATCGGTGAAATCTATCATATCGTATCTTGAAAATCATTTTACAGGTTCTTAAAGAAATACCGTTCGTGTAG